TATTGTCTTCCTCATCCTCGAGTGCTGGGGCGTGTACACTGATGAGTGTGGCAAATTGGCTGTTGCTAAACTTGAGCCAAAGAGTCTTGAGATGCTCGTTGATCCCCACGGGAAGCTCCACAAGCTGACTGGTGATCTTATTTTTGATGATAAAGCCAATCCCATGACTGCGTCTCTCTTCAGGTGGCTTTCCTTTCCCAAAAAAGGTGTAAACATCTCCATCCTCTTGTAATTGGCCCTCATCGGCCCGGTGGGTCTCACTAAGTGCTGCAATGTCAATGTTGAGTCTTGCCAGATCTCTGGCAATTATGGCAGAACAGGAAGTCAGTGTAATACAATGGAATAAAATTCCCTCCTGTCCTGTAAGGTGTAAGACTAGAGCTAGAAGTCTGAGAGGACAATCAAATAAAATATATCTGGAAGGGCACCCATATGACAAACATTCAAACTACACTTTCTCAAAGTGCAGCTCATCCTAACAGCAATTCATAGAATATCAGGGTTGGAAGGGACCTCAGGAGATATCTAGTCCAACCCCCTGCTCAAAGCAGGACCAATCCCCTGACAGATTTTTGCCCCAGATCCCTAAATGGCCTCTTCAAGAATTGAACTCACAACCCTGGGTTTAGCAGGCCAATGCTCAAACCACTGAGCTATCCCCCCCTTGTTTAGTGCCAAGCCCCAAAATGAATATCAGATTAAAGTCAACTGCACGCTCTCTTATCCTACACCAGGAATGGAAATAAATCGAGAATGTTCGTTTTAAATCCAATGCCAACTTCATGAATAGCTTCCCAGGATGCTTTAGTGGGTCATCATCTTTGTCAAGAGCAAATATCTGCACCTCACAAGTATTTAAGTACTGGCTCCTCCCCATTCTCAGTATCAAATGCCAAAGTTTTAAATCCATAGTATGGAATCAGAGCACATTAAAAATACACATTGTGAGCCAAATCCTGCAGTCCATATTCAATCCTTCAGCTGGCAGCAGTAGTAAGCTTTTATCTTCTTGGTGGATCCATCCTGAACAAGCAGACATGGTGTGTCACACACTCCCCATGTCAGGTGAAGCATGTCCCAGTCACTACTTTGTATCAAATCGTGTACTTCCATTAACAATTCCTATGCTGTACCAAAAGTATACACTTGTATATGCATGAGCACACACGGAGGTAGGAATAGAACCCTGGTTATTAGCCAGTGGGAATTTGGACTGATTAAATAGCTCAGGATTCAATCTTTCAAAAACCAGGGAAAGGAGGAAAATCCAATAATAATCTACAACCATTTGATCTCTGATTATATAGGTGCTTAAACACACTGTTCAAGGAAATGAAAAATTCCAGCGCTCCTTTACATGACAGAACAATAATAGCTGTGACAACAGCAGGCTTCAATATTGGAGCAATGATAGAATTTCCACTGAATAATAAATGCTCTATGAAGTCATAGCATATCATGACTGTATGAACAAACCGACTCTATGAACTCCAGTCTCCTATACTGACAAACTTACTTTTTTAAATACAATTTGTAACTCAAAAATTCCACAAACAGATTATTATAACATTTTGAAAAAAAAAAAATACCGCTTCACACATAAAGAACATGGCTCCTAAGTTAATTTTTAGGACCAATTGGCAAACATCCTGCTGAAGTGTTGAGTTACTAGAGTGATATGTGTGTAGTATTTGAAATCCTCAGTTTAAAATTGCTGTATTAGTGAAAAGTAGTATTCTTACCTGCGGAATGTGGCTAATCACTTGTAATTTAGCCTTTTGTTTCATGTCATCCTGAGCTGTCATTTCTGGAGGTGCCTATATCAGGGTCTCAGAAAAGGGATTCTAATCTAAAACTACTGTGCCTATATTTGTCTGTAGCTTTTTGTTCCAGCAGTACCATTTGCTCCATTCAAAAGAAAAGGAGACATCAGCATTTTTGTTGTTCAGAAGATCAATATCTATCTATCTAATATATTTACTTCTGGAAATGGCAGTTCAGGATTATGTGAAGCAAAGGAATACATGACAGGTGAGTAGCCATATTCCACAGGTAAGAATACATTGCACTAATACAGGAACTTTTATCTGAGGATTTTAAACACTACCTCAAATATTAAATCTTACAACAACCCCATGGAATATTTTACCCACTTGACAGATGGCTGAACTGTGCAACCAGGGATTAAGTGACTTGTCGAAAGCTAAACAGTGAATCAGTGGCAATGTCAGGAAAAGAACCCAGGAGTCCCAACGGTCAGTGCCTATTTTCACTTCTACGTAACACTCCTTCACATAGCTAGGGATAGAAGCCAGTATTCCTGATTTCTAGCGTTCTGCTCTAACCACTAGACAATAATCTCTCCCATAACCGGGAAAAGAAGACAGCAGTTCTAACTCCTAGTGACCTACTTTAACCAACAACCAACTATCCTTTCTACAATTGAGAATAGAAGCCAAGAGTCCTGACTGTCAATATCTTGCTCCAACCACTAGAAACACTCCCTCTCTGAAACAGAGTGTCCCTGTGACTTATTTGAGCTTAATCCCAGATCTGTGCAGGTCAATGAAATTGCGCAGACAAATCTGAGGTAGGAACAGCGTGTCCCTTCCTGATGACCTCGAGGTGGAAGATGATGCTTTGAGGTCATGTTCAGGATCAAATTGAGCTTTAGTAAGTTAAAGGATTTCAACGTGATGGATGGAAGGGCAGAAGAAAAAAAAAGCCCATGGTAGTCTCTCATGAGGCACTTCGGTGGTTATTGACTGGGTGAAGCAGCACAGATTTCTAATTAACAAAACTGGAGCATACCAGCCAGACCTGGACACAGAGAGAAGATGAGAGCAGTATCCATGTTTCATCAGATTGCCTTTGTGTTAGAGTCATTTTTACACTTTGCACACCACATTAATGGGAATTTCACCTGCATTTAAACATAGCAGTGGTTACAAGGGGAGAGAGCCTGATAGCACTCCATGCCACATGGCAGAAGCATGGTCATACTGATGCAGCATATTACAGAAGAGGCATACACACTGTGCTCTCACCTGGAGACATTATTTTTGTTCTTTCTTATTTGTTGCTTTCACTTAATCCAAACAAAAAAAGTCAGGCAGATGGGTTGCTCTTTGTGTATGGAAAAACATGACCGTCTACTAAGTTCTTATTTCCTCATGATCTCCTGCTTTTTCATCCCTAGACTAGTAATATTCCTAAATATGCCACCTTGTCTTCATCTCTATTATATTCCACAAACAACCCCACCTCTTTACAACCCTATCTATCCTTCCCACCCACACCCTGCTTCCTCTTTTATTTAGATATTCCTTGCTCTATTTCCTCCCAAAGCTTTCAAGAGCTTTTCTCCTCATCTCAAGACTCTAGCGTCCTCCCTACAAAGTATTTCTGCTATGTTTTCATACCCCTAACCTGCTTTTTCTTGCTGCCCTGAATCTGGATTATTTCCAAGGCTGATGTCATCTGAATTACCAGAGATCAATACATGTATTAAATGCGTTAATTAGAAGTCTGTGCATTTCCACTCCATCAATAACATGAGACTCACATGGGCCTCTTATGTTGAACACAGAGAAACCCTTTGACACATCAACCCTCAGTACAATCCATGTCATGGATACAACTCCTTTCTATTCCCAGAGGATCAGTCAGAAGGACACATTGTAGTCAAAGTTTCATCTGAGGATCTCAAAGGGCTTCAACAAATATTAACTAAGCACAAGGGAGACAGGCCAGTGATATTAAAACTGAAGCACAGAGCAGGGAAGTGTTTTTGATTTTTAAACAATGTTTAAACATTTTAAAATGGCTCTGCAGCTGGTGCGATCGATGCTTATCACACTGGCTCCGTGTCTTCCCTCCATCTGTTTATTGTATCTGCCTCTTGTATACTTAAATTCTACGCTCGTCAAGGCAGTGACCATCTTTTTTTATTATTTGTTTGTACCATGCTTAGCACAATGGGGTCCAGATCAGAGTCTTTAGGTGCTATGAATACAAACGAACAATAATAATAAATTACTCCAAAGGAAGCAACATGTAGTATGGAAACTCAAGTTACCCCCAAACCGTGCACTGTACCCATGACATGAGTATGGCAACACAGGAATGTGTATTCAGTATATAAATTAACCTGCGGAACTCATTGTTGCAGGGTATTCCTGAGACAATTCTTTGGCAAGATTCAGATCATTCTTTTTTTTTTTAAATCCTATTTACTGTAACTGTGGAGTCCTCGTTATCCATATAAATGTCTAATCCTCATCAGAATTCTACCAAGCTGTTGGCCTCAATTATGTATTGTGGCAACAAGTTCCACAGGATAATTCTAAATTGTGTAGAGAAGAATTTCCTTTTAAACGCTTCTAAATTTGCTGCCTTTCACTTTCATTGGGTGTCTGCTTGGCTCACGGAGCTCAAGAGTTTGGTAGGATTAATAAAAGGATTAGACATTTATGTAGGGATGAGAACATCCTATTAGGAGTGAAAATCCATAAGAGATGTGAATTTACCATCCTCAGGGCATAAACCAACCACTAAGTGACAGGGGATAGGAAGAATCATCTTCTGGGGACAGATTACTCTGTAAACATCCACCACAAAGACTTTTTGCTGCTTCCTCTGAAGTATCTTGTATTATTTGGGAATAGAATACTGGACTAGGTCAGCTCTGAGAGTCTTACATTCCAATGTATCTACCTCTTGGTATGTAACAACTTGGTCCTGACTGGCCAGGGACAGGGCATCATGGATGCAGATTGTGGATTAAAATTAGACACCGAATGCTGCTAAACATAGGAAGTATGTATATTTGCACCTGTCCTGCATGAACACAATCAGCTTTGAGGCCGCTCATATTTACGATTTATGGATGAGAGTATAACAGCAGATATTTGTTTTTCTCCCCCCTGGTAATGGGAGGCTGTCGGTCATGACGTTACACAGAAAACCTTGGTCCACAAAAGGCTTTTAGAACTTACTACCTGATCTGTGCTTGGTGTATCTGTAATGTCATTCATGCTTCTGCTTTGCGCATGGCCTAAAGAAAGCACAAGGGAAAGACACAGTAAGAAACATTTAGAGGCCACAAACCTTCTATGTACAGATTCACAGGCCCATTTTGTGCCCTTCACCTGTGTGGCTGACAAGCTGCTGAAAAGGAGAATGGGGTCCTAAATTGCCTCTAGCGCTGTCCATTTCTAGAATAGGCCAGATTCTGGTCCCATTTACAACAAGATAAATCTGGTGTGGCTCACCTGGACTAACTCCAGATTTAACATGGCATAAATGTGATCAGAACAGAGTTACCCTGGTGGAGTTCACTGGATTTATACCAGTGTAACTAGGATCAGATTCTGGCCACGTGTTGACACTTATCTCTTATACTGCATGGGCCAAATTTTGCCATCATATTTGCATTTACAACTCCTGCTGAGTTAATGGGTATGGCATGGATGGATCTGGGGGGCAGAATTTTGCTCCATTTTTTGGGTCCCTTTACCCTCTTCCTGTGACACGTTGCCTCAGTTTCCATCTTTTCCCATCAGGGCTTTCTCAAGGTCTGTGGGAAGCTGCAATTCCAGGAGAGTTCATATATGTCAAATCAGTGGGTGGTTAATGAAAGCTTTGCACACAGTCCCCCTTTGGGGGTGACAAGCCACTTATCTCTCAAAGTATAACCAAACTATCAATTTCCAGGAAACATGCAACAAAAATCAAGATATCATATGCCACGAATGCCTAGGAATAAGAGGAGGCGAAGGGATTAATTCTGTTACTCAAAACTCCCCCCCCCCTTCTTCAAGGGCTATATAAATTTAAACTCATTTTTAACATTGTTTCGATTTTAAGCAACAATCCACCCCGAGTCCCTCCTCCTCGATTTTGTGGTTTTACAATTTCCTATTTTTCAAAATATATTTCTCTTCAGAACTCAAAAGGGGAAGCCAATTGCCAGAAAATACAGGGTGAACAATGAAATTGACTCAAACTGAAACACAGTGCTGCCAAATATTCAAAGCAAGCAATCTGGAAAAAAAAACAAAACCCCAAATGATTCCCCTCCCCTAATTTCTTTTAGTTACAGTAATTTTAAATGTGACTTGTAAAAATAGCCTGTAGAACATTTTCAGACAGCTGGCCTGGTGAATAGAGACTCAGGAGGTCTAGGTTCAATCCCCAGTTTTCCTACAGTCTTGCCTGACCACGGCCCACCAATTTAGGACCAGAACTTTAAAGGGAGATAGGCAGCTAACTCTCTTTTTAAATCTGGCCCTTAGTGTCCTTGTGCCTTTGATTCCCCATCTGGGCAATAATAATTCTTCTCTTCCACTGTTTGTCTGTCTCATGCATTTAGACTGTAAGCTCTTTGGGGCAGGGACTGTCTCTTATTACGTATATATACAGCACCTAGCGCAACGCTGTCCTGATCTCAGATGAAGCACATAGAAGCTACAGTAACAACAAGGGCAAGTTTAAAGTTGACAGGCTCCCATTAATTACTTCCTATTAGGATCTTGGAACCAAATGATTTAAAAAAAATCAATCAAATCCTACTGCTTGAACAGAACAGCTTAGACAGACTAGAAGAACCAGCTCAGAGCTAAGCGAGTTCTAGAGCTGGGTGCTAGCTTCCAGCCAAAGTTCTCCAATTCATTTGGAAGCTGACGGGATTGCTAATGGGAACAAGAGGGCATGTCTACTGCAGTACAGCTCTAGTGTAGATGCTTCTGACATCAACAGAAGCGTTTTTACCATCTATGTAGTTAATCCACCTCCTCAAGTAGTGGCACCTAGGTGGATGGAAGAATCAGGGGTTAGGTCAACTTAGCTATGCACACAGCGGTGTGAATTTTTCACACCTGAGAGCGACACAGCTAGGTCGATCTAAATTTTAGATGTAGACCATTGCTGAAGCAGTTAAAAATAATTATGACTTGTTAATCTACGCATTTTGGTTGTTTTCTTGTTCTATCGCAGGGGTCGGCAACATTTCAGAAGTGGTGTGCCGAGTCTTCATTTATTCACTCTAATTTAAGGTTTCGCGTGCCAGTAATACATTTTAACATTTTTAGAAGGTCTCTTTCTATAAGTCTATAATATATAACTAAACTATTGTAGTATGTAAAATAAATAAGGTTTTAAAAATGTTTAAGAAGCTTCATTTAAAATTAAATTAAAATGCAGAGCCCCCCGGACCGGTGGCCAGGATCTGGGTAGTGTGAGTGCCACTGAAAATCATCTCGCGTGCCGACTTCGGCACCCGTGCCATAGGTTGCCTGTTCTATCGTCTTGCGATTCTCTTTAAAGCTTTATACCTCATGGGTCACTCCATCATCATCCATAACAGTAGTATTCATCTGCCTGAGGGTTGTGGTGCAAATTGATGGCCAAATCCTAAGGTCCTTACTCGATTTTTATTCATTTCTTTCCCCTCTCAACAATGCTTTCCCCTGACTAAGTGTAACCCACTGGTGAATGTGCGTATCAAGTCCCCCGCTATGGTGATCCACAGAGAATAGGAGTTGATACAGACACCAGAAAGGGATCCTGTAGCAGCTCATGCTTTTCTATCTGGAGGTCCCTGATTCCATCCCCAGTGTGTCGGCCAACACCCCGGACATCACATAAATATTTGGGGCTACATTCAAACAAGAATTTAGGCACTGAACTGCCACTTTAGGCACCTTAATCCCACAATCATCCCCCCACCCCCAGGATTCACAAAAGCCCTGTTCAGCTGCCACCAACCCCGGTAGATAGCTAAATGTTTGCAGGAAAATTTCCCCAGGTACTTGCGTATCTGAGGTCTGCAGCCTCATGCTAGGCATCCAGACACCTGAGCCTCAGCGGATGAGGTGTTCCTCCACCTAAATCATGTGTGGGCCCCCATCTGGGAGGCGAGCCCTGAACACGCCTACCGAGCTCACACAAAACAGGGGAGGAGAGCCTCTCCCTTGCGTCTTAGCCCAATGGTGAGGCCACTCACTTGGGATGTGGCACACCCCTGGTTCAAGTCCCCCCTCCACTTGAAGTGGGACCGGTCACTTCTCAAGGGAGTGCCCTAATCATTGAGCTATGGGATATTCTGATGTGGGGCTGCCTCAGTCTCTCCCGTCAAAACTGTTCCACTGTGAATACATAATTAAGAGTAATTGGGCCAGAGAGCGCAAGGACAAGAATGACTCAGTAGCCTGGTGGCTACAGCACTCGCCTGGGAGATGAGACCCCCAGTCTCCCTGCTGTTGATGTTCCACCTTCTCCTGCCCACCCCCTACCCCAGCTTCTTGCATCCTTGGCATCTCCCATTGGCTAACTTAACTGGCACCTGGCCTCCAGCGTGCTGGCTTTTGTGAACCCCATTCTGAGGTGCCTGCCTCTTCCCTTTCACTGTACAGGGAGCCTGGCCGCCTAACTCGGGCTTTGTGATTCACAGTGATTTTCTAGGTGCTTAAAAATTAAGCCTGGCAATGCTCAGCATCACCACGCCCAAATGCCTTTGTGAATCCAGCCCTTCGGGGTTCGCATCAGTGTAATTTGATTTCAATGTGAATTACACCCACTAGAGTAATCAGAGCAGGCTGAAAAATGCAAACATTTTCCCCTCCCCCCCACCCCGATTTTCATCTCAGGTTGAGATTGTCACTTGCCCTACACCCCTATGCAGCAGGATAAGGAGTTGTAGGTATGGAGGGGGAAGTCGTCTGTGCCAACTATCCAGCTGTCACAGACTGTGACTCTAAGTCAGAACGTGGTTCCTGAAGCAGCGTAATTATGTGCTGCCCCTTGCTCAGGGCTTGCTGCAAAGCGATGATTTGTCATTTTAAAAACCTTTAATTTTTAAATGACACTTTGCAATAAGTTCTACCTGGCAATACACTGTAGTTATGCTTTTTGATACCTATAATTGCCACCAATGCATAAAAATGGAAGAACTACAAGGCTGAGGATAACTGCCGTGTAATTGAAATGTAGCTAGACACACCTGGGCTCCAAAAAGCGATGTAATAAGATGAACACCCAGAGGTGTAACAATAAGGGAGTCTGTAATGCAGTTCCCCTTCCGGTTATCTGAATTACTTGTAATAAGTTATTGAAAATCATAGCCACAGCGTAACTATGCTGCAATTGCAATGTAAGTGCACAGTAACTACAATCACCCTGGGATAAAGTGGCATCCATCTTTCTCTAATCTCTTTCAATCATGGTAATTTTAGAGTTTACTTAGAGCAACATTTGCAGACGGAAAAGTGATTTTCAAGTAGACCATTCTCGCTTTCTTGCTCTAGGAAACAGTTGTTTACAACCGAGGCCCAAAGAGATTATGTACTTTGCCAAATGTGAATCAGTCAAATAACCAGGATTAGAACTCAGGAGTACAGACTCCCAACCAGGTGTTTGTTCTGCTAGACACTGCTGCCTCGCTAAACAAGTAAGTAGCTCTTGTTCAACTTACGTAAACGTCCATAATTTGCGTTCTGTCTCATTCTAAGATCTTCGGTGGAGCGGTGGAAGCTGGCCCCTGCTGCTGGGCTCCGGACAGGACTGCGATCTGAGAAGGAGAGAGCATTTAGATCACATACATGTACATAATGAGGCTGTCAGCAAATGCTGCCAGCTCGGATCGTGTGTGACCATCAATGAATACAGCTCGTCATTTTCAGGTATTGAAACTCGGGTGGCAAATTAATTGTCCAGTGCTTAACTTGGATAGATTTCACACACCTACTGACATTCTGCAAGCTTGGCTATGAATTCAGCAGCATTTCCCACTTTTGGCCCAGGCAGAGTAATTTTTCTATTAGGAAAGAACGGTCTTACTTCTGCCAGGGTATTTTAAATATTTTCCTTGTTGGGTGAATTTCATCCCTGTGCAGAGGGCCAATACAAGGCTTATGCCACTACCTTAGTCCCATTTAAGCCCTATTTTGAGGCCTGAAGTGGCATTTGACTGATGCGCAGGCCCTCTCTGCAGAAGAATGAACACCACACAGTGTGAACACAAGCTCTACGACTTACAACTGGCCTTTGTGCTCAGATACCATGGTTATAATTGAGGAGAGAAACTGAGCAAGGCCATGGAACTTGGCGTGGTGTGTGACAGACTGATGATATCCTGTATTGTCCTGAAGAACCATTCTGGAATTAAGATAAACTTCATTAAATTAAGTTAAACCTTATCGAATTAAGGCTAATACCTTTGGGGCACACTGTATTAAAAAGGTATGTTACTGTGGCACTGTATGTACTTTCTCTAGTAGGGAAGGAAGGATGCTGTGACGTTATTGATATAATCTGGGACCATATAGATCATTGTTGCAACCAAGGTCCTGTAGTGGCACCAAAATCTTGTATAAAGGGGGTCAAATGGGGTGTCTTAGACAAGGTTATGGTTTACTGGTTATGATTATGCTGTCTATATGTGTGTATCAATTTTGTAGTTGAAGTTATGAATATTGGCTCTATACTGTCTGTATTTCAAACTTATGCTATGCTGCTGGGTGACATCCCAGACAAGCTGGTGTTAGCTCTGCCTAGCCTGCTTGATGGCCCATTAAGGACCATCAGCTATACAATGGACCCATTGAGAGAAGGCAAATATGCCTTGAGACTCAGCAAAGTATGCAGGGACTGGCCCATGTGACTCCAGGCTCCATTTTGCTGTAATTTTCCACAGTAAGAACAAAGAGGTGTTCTTACACCTGGAAAAGACTATATAAGGCTGATGCCTCATCTCCATCTTGTCTTCAATCCTGCTTCATACCTCTGGAGGAACTTTGCTACAAGCTGAAGCTTTGAACAAAGGACTGAGGACCCATCCCAGCAGGGGATGTATTCCAGAGACTTGATTTGAACCTGCAGTTTATTCTATCGCTGCTGCAAGCCTGAACCAAGAACTGTGCCATTACTGTATGTAATTGATTCCATTTAACCAATTCTAACTCTCATCTCTATCTTTTTCCTTTTATGAATAAACCTTTAGATGTTAGATTCTAAAGGATTGGCAACAGCGTGATTTGTGGGTAAGATCTGATTTGTATATTGACCTGGGTCTGGGGCTTGGTCCTTTGGGATCAGGAGAACCTTTTTCTTTTACTGGGGTTTTGGTTTTCATAACCATTTGTCCCCATAACGAGTGGCACTGGTGGTGATACTGGGAAACTGGAGTGTCTAAGGAGATTGCTTGTGAGACTTGCGGTTAGACAGTGGGGTGAGACCGAAGTCCTCCTAGTCTGGCTGGTTTGGTTTGCCTTAGAGGTGGAAAAACCCCAGCCTTGGGCTGTAACTGCCCTGTTTGAGCAATTTGTCCTGAGTTGGCACTCTCAGTTGGGTTCCGCCAGAACCGCATTGTCACAGATGCTAATGAACTTCCTCTGTTATCAACCCTTTGAAGCCACCATTGAATACTAATTCAAACTGGAGTCTCCAGCAGGGACCAAGAGACAAAAAAGGGGTTTGGATAAATAGCCTTCTGCATGATCCAGGGGATGGACAGGACCCCCGACACATGGAGGGCCCCAATCCCTAGGGTAGGGTTGAAAGGACTGAGCCTCCTGAGGCCCCATAAACCTGGGAGCTTGTTCTGAGCTGAAGCTGTGCTGAACTTGTGACCACAAAGGAATCCCCGTGGGTTGAGGGTTGAAGAACGACTCTTGCCAGCATCCATGAGAGGGTGCGGGTGATGCTTGGTAAGCTTATTAGCAAGCGTGCAGATTCCTTTATTGTTTGAATATGATTTCTCTGTAATCCTTTTTACCTTAAAAATGAAGTAGGCTTGCATAGGAAGTGCTGTGTGGTACCTTGTAGCAATTACACCTGTTAACCATCTCCGGAGAGCAAGCAAGCAATGTCCTTGGGCAACCTGCCAGTGGTGGGAATACATGGGGAAGGCAGGGTACTGTGCAGATGGGAGATACCCTGATCAGAAGGGAGGGAGGGGGAGACAGAGAAGGGAAGGGAAAAGGGAATGGCCTGAGAGTGGGTGCCCTTGACTGGACCACTAAGCGGGAATATAGGGGCAGTTGCCCTGAACTCTGACATATACTAGGGGACTTGGGTTGCAGTAGATAGAAGCTCACACTCTCATAGCTGTGTTGGCTCTGCAGGTAGGGTGACCAGACAGCAAATGTGAAAAATTGGAACAGGGCCTGGGGGTAATAGGATCCTATATAAGAAAAAGACCCCAAAATCGGGACTGTCCCTATAAAATCGGGACATCTGGTCACCCTATCTGCAGGAGTCACGGGCAAAAATTAGTACAAAACACACCTTCATGCCTAAAAAGAGCGGACAGAATTCTGAATAAACACAAAAGGGCCTGATTCTGATCTTGCTTACACGGTGGATGTAATCCATTCACTTCACTGGAGCCACTCCTGATTTACACTGGTGTAAAGGAGATCAGGATGAGACCCAGAGAATAGCTCTTTTGATTAAGAAGGGGCCGTTTTCAATACAGACACTGTTTATGGTACAGCAGCATTGCAAGCATTTACGAACATCCAGCACCTCTCCAGTGTTAATTCAACGCTGCTGCCAGGGTGGGATCTTGTCCTGTGACAAAGAACTCCTCACTAGAGCTGGTCAGTGAATCTGCGTTCCACAGGAAGTGCCAATATTCTGAAAAATCCCCGAAATGTCCTCAAAATGAGAATTGCTAGTATCAAAAATGTTGCTAGTATCAAAACATTTGGCCTTTTTCATTATATTAAATGTTAAATATAACATATACATAATATTCTACACACAATATGTAAATAGATTAAAATCTATATTTTAGACTATAAAAGTCAAAACAAAACTGAACTTTGATTCAAAATGTTTTTGACATAAAAAAATGCTTCGTTTTGACATTTTTCCCCATCGAAAAAACGTTGTTGAAATCGACGTGTTCCCATGAAAAATTTAGATTAAATGGCATTTTTCAATGAAAAACTTCTGTCAAAATTTTTTTGACCAGCTCTACTTATTGCTGATAGGCTGGAAGCAACAAGATGAATAGCAGCTAGAACAACAGCAATAAAAATCTTCCCTGCAATTTAATAATGGGCCCAACGCAGCACCCACTGAAGTGAACAGCAGAACTCCCTTTGTGGGTAAACAATCTGCCCCTGTATTTTCCTGTATGTTGTCAATATTCATTCCAACGACTTATTACTCCTAAATGGAAAAAGACCCACAGTGTAAAACATCAATGAGGAGTAATAACCACAGCCAAAACACCAAGGCTAGAAATCACTAAATTATGAGCAAAGTTCTGCTCTGAGCTGTTGGGTGAATCTCCGTTCTGCTCCCCAGAGTCATGGATGCCTTGTTGAAGTCAATGAAAGTATGCATGCCAGGAGAGCAGGCTATCGGCGATTACATCTGATGTGCGGAAGTGAAACCTTACGTTTGCACTTTAGGTTAGTCTAGAGAGTGAACAACTTAAGGTCATTACATCCAAGATTCCACCAAAGTGCCTCCCATTTGAGCCGAAGTTAATATCCTAGACTGGAAACAGAGAAATCCCCCTTTAAAATGGCTAAAAACAGGAAACAATCATGCAACAGACTGGGTTCGTTCTATAGAGCAAGTAACCCAGTGGCATCCCACATCAGAGCAAGCTTCCAGCACAGCCCCCTGCCAGGATGCCTTCGCCCTGACATAGAGATCAGTTTTCAATGTGCCATCCAGCCTTCGGCCTCTCTGCTGGAATGGTCACCAAAGGTGCCATTTACAGCCCCACGGGGTGATGCTACTGTGATGGGGAACTCTACGGAGACCACCAGCTTGCTTCACACAAACCAATGTCAGACAAGTAATATTTTTTGTTTACTAACAACCTCAGAAGGATTTGAATGGATAACATGGATTTTATAGGCTGTAAAAGGCTGGGCTTGCCATGTAGCGCCCCCTTCTGGCCAAGCGAGGCTGTGCAGAGGCCCTGCCTCAGTTTACTCTCCTCAAGGCTCCTTAGATAAATTCCACCAGGCCTGAGTCCTTTAAACATTCCCCTGCTGTATATACATAAATTACAGACAATTCACAACATTCAATCCTGGGGCTTCTCCCTTTTTCCCAGGAGAGAGTCCTCCTCTCTCCTGAGTCATTTGCAGGCTTCCCTGCCTGGACCCTTTGTCCCCTGGTGTCTCAACTCAGCCCTGGGGCCTCTCCTCTTTTCCCAGGAGAGGATCCCAGCTTTCTGCTCTCTGCAGGAGCCCTCTAAGGCTATGCCTACCCTGGCAACTAAAGGACAAAACTTGTCTTTCAGAGGTGTTAACAACTCCCCCAACCCCCCGTGAAACACAAAAGTTTTGCTGCGACAAGTGCCAGCGTGAACAGGAGCACTCTCCTGCCGACAATGCGAACGCCGCTCGCTGGGGGTAGAAGTTTTTTGCTGACAAACAGCGGCTACACTGCGTGACTTTTAGCGCCACGGCTGCAGTGACACAGCCATGTCGCTAAAAGCTGTGTAGTGTAGACATCGCCCAAGTCTCTGCAGCTTCGCTCTGCCCCCACATTCCTCGCCCTGTTTCCCTCTTTATAAGGCCCAGGTGCCTTCCCTTAAGCCCAAATGAGCAGCAGATAATCACTCACAGGTTGCACTGGGTGCTGCTCCTTCATAAAGGGGCCAGTCACGCAGCGACATAGACTCTACATTCCTTTACCAATTCCCTGTGCCACCTTCTGGGCTCCTGTGGGTTCCATCCATCGTTCTCTGCTATGATCTCACGGTCCCTTCTGGCCTTAAGCTCTACGAATCTAAGAACCACCAGCTTTGTTTTTATCTACACGTTTCACATACGGCATAAGAGTTGTAGAATGTACTGAATGAAATCCCAAAGTCTGTGTTCAAGGGGAAGTGTAGAGGAACAGCATGACCCTGCATGCTGCTTATGTCCCAGTGAAGCCCATAGGTATTCATAGAGGCAGAGAAAATTGGTGGATTTGAGCCACAGGGCTGGAATGGGTTGTAAATGGAGCATAATAGAGGTGCTAGCCCTCAGTAGAGGGGGAGCATTTTACCTTCAGTCCTTACTGAGGCCCTTAGACTGCAACAAAAGTTTAGCCTGGGTTAAAAAAAAAAGGAATAAGGACGTTGGGATACAGCCATGTGTGAGCTGAATCTTGTGAACTCACTTGTGTTGGACGAGACCGATTTGCCAATGTCTGCCAAGGATCGGTGGATTGGCTTCTTGGTCTGGTGGCGGTGTTTCCTCAGGAGCACGTAACTTATTTTCTCTCTCAGCTCTGGCTTGAGCAGACCATCCTCTATCTGCTTTTCAATAACATCATCTGAAAGAAGGACATTGGAAGCGCGTGCATGACTCGCTGGGCTGCGGTATGGCAGGTTCTGTTGCAAAAAAAATAAAATAAAAAAAATCCCCCTCCTTGCAAACTCTAGAACTGCATCACATGCCAAAGACTCAGACTTTAAGGTCATGAGGGACCATCATGATCATCTAATCTGACCTCCTGCACATCGCAGGCCACAGAACCTCACCCACCCACTCCTGTAACAGACCCCTAACCTCTGGCTGAGTTACTGAAGTCCATAGGTGCCGACTTTGTGGGTGCTCCGGGGCTGGAGCACCCATGGGAAAAATTAGCGGGTGCTCGGTACCCACCAGCAGCCAAGCTCCCCCCGCCCCGCCTCCTCCCCTCTCCCAAGCACGCCGTGTCCCTGCTCCTCCCACTCCCTCCCAGCGCTTCCCGCCCCCCGCCCCCTAACAGCTGTTTGGCAGCGCTTAGGACTTTCCCGGAGGGAGGGGGAGGAGCGGGGACGCGGCGCACTCGGGGGAGGAGGGGAGAAGGGGCGGGGACTTGGGGAAAGTGGGTGGAACGGTGGCGGGGCGAGGGCAGTGCGGGGGCAGGAAGAGGTGGGGACAGCGGTGGGGTTGAGCACCCACCGGGCAGAGGGGAAGTCAGCCCCTATGCTGAAGTCCTCAAATCATAATTTAAAGACTTCAAGTTACAGAGAATCCACCATTTACGCTAGTTTAAACCTGCAAGTGACCTGTGCCTCATACGGCAGAGGAAGGCGAAAACCGCCCAGAGTCTCTGCCAATCTGACCTGGGGGGAAATTTCTTCCTGACCCCAAATGTGACAATCAATCAGTTAGAGATGTTGGCGAGACCCACCAGCCAGACACCTGGGAAATAATTCTCTGCAGTAACTTGGAGCCCTCCCCATCTAGTGTCCCATCCCTGGCTATTGGAGAGATTTGCTGCTAGCAGTTGCAAATCGGCTCCATGCCATTGTAGGCAGTCTCATCATACAAACTCTACGTGGTCTGTAGAGGCTATATGGTGGGATCAGATCATCACAGGTAAGTTCACGCTCCTTCTTTACTCAGAAAAAAATCACAGTTAATATCCTTCCTCCCCCTGGGGTTTTGCCTGTATAATGGAGTGTTGAACCAGGGCCACGTTACTTTCCTTTTCTTAAAGGTGTAGTGCCCAATCCCCATTTGCCATGTACCTTATGTCATCGTTTACACGCGCGTGATATCTGTGTAAAATGCAGCCATTCAGATATAGCACGGTGTTGCATTAACTTTGCATAGGTGTGCAATGACGACACACAAGGAGCAAGGCAGTGAAGAATGAAGCTCGTTCTGCCTAAAGGGCCAACTCCTGCAGTTCTTGGGCAGGCAAAACTCCCACCATTGGGAAGAATCAAAGCTACATGATTTGGCTCTAAACTTCCAAAACAAACAATATGCTCTCTCCAAGATGCCCATCACCACAATATCTGGGCATCAGTGAGATCAGTAGCGATTCACAGAAGGCACTAGGATGTTTTCATATGATAAAAACCCATCCCAGCGTGCAGTACGTATACATCTTTGAAGCAGTTACTATGCTAAGCTAATCTGACTGGGTTGGTGATGCCAATTTAGCTGCCTTAGGTCTTCATCTATACACAGACTTGCACAGAAATAACAAAATCAGCTTGGACTGTCTCCTTTTGTTATTTCAGTGCAGGTTTGTGGGTAGACCAGCCTTTATTTTACTGAGAGTCACCTCTTCTGATACGGTTAATTAATTCTGCTGTCCTCTCTTTTTACCCCAGCATAAATTCCACTGATTTCAACGGAGTTGCTTATTATGTGACATTAGAATAAGGACCATAAAGTTAAATTAAAAAGTACATAAAAAGCACATCACACCAGAGATAATAAATCAGAGAGATGATTAATGAATAAATAAGAATGGCAAAACTCTACCGAGCTCCACACTAAGCATGTAACAGTGCAACAATTTGAGCCAACGTTTTAACATATGCAGTGGGTTGTTACTTAAAGGCTGACTACTACACCGCCTTTTCAAGTGTAACGTGTAGTTATACTCTGAAAAGGGACAATAAAAAGGAAGCTGTAGAGTTCTAAATGTATTGTGCTTTCTCTCACTATCTTGCAGAGCAAATACGCTGCGTTTATGAGTCACTTGCTGTATATAGAATCACAGAAATGATTGAGACGTCATCAAGTGCAGCCACTTGCGCTGAGGTAGGACCAAGTAAACCTAGACCATCCCTGACAGGGGTTTGTTCAGCCTGTTTTTAAAAACTCCTGTGATGGGGATTCCACAACCTCCCTTGGAAGCCTATTCCAGAGCTTAACTAGAGTTAGAAAGTTTTTCCTAATGTCTAACCTAAATCTCTCTTGTTGCAGATTAAGCCCATTGTTTCTTGTCCTACCTTCAGTGGACATAGAGAACAAATGATCACTGTCCTCTTTATAGCTGCCATTAACATATTTGAAGATTTATCTGGTCCCCCCTCCTAGTCTTCTTTTTTCAAGACTAAACATGTCCAGTTTTTTTAACCTTTCCTCACAGGTCAGGTTTTTTAAAACTTTTAGTGTATTTATATGTAATGACATTTGTATGTAACTATATATAATCAAAGGGAAAAATAAATAAGTTAATGGATGCACAGAAATTAGACATCAATTTTGTCTTCATTTCTCAACTGTACCACATCTCCTGCTTGACAACAGTTGCTTTCTCTCTGGCTTATATTACGTAAGGCATAATGAAATGAACATTCATCAATAAAAATGGAAAGTGAAACCCAGCATAAGGCACTGTTAGTTTTGATGCAATACTGCATCCGCTTTTTTCAGCTTTTCCTCACCTGTCAGGTTTATATAATCTCAGGATGCTTTGCAAACATTAACTAGAGCCTTACTAACACCTGCAGGTCTCAGAACAGAACCCAGGAGTCCCAGCTCCAATCACTAGTCACAGCTTCCTCAACACACATATGTGGGTTTTTTTGGGGCTGTAAGCCTAAGACCCACCAGAGAGACAAGGTGGGTGAGGTAATATCCTATCGAATATCCTGGGACTGACACGGCTACAATTACACTGCATAAGACCCACCAGGTAACAGAAATTAATCTAGCAACAACCTCACCATCATCATCCCTTCATTGCCTAACTTCATATTGGATGGATTACAGTGGAGTGAAATGTATTAAAGAACCTCACTGCATCGGACTGCAAAAGGTGTCAATGTGTAAACACGGAAAAGTGGAAGTCAAATGCAAACATATCAGAGCGGTAGTGATTTACAGTTGCAGTGCATAATCTACTTTAGCTACGTATCTGGCCCCCAGATGCTCAAAGGTGTTTAGGGACTTCACTCCCATGGGTTTCAATGAAAGTCAGGAGAGCTCAGTACCTTTGAGGATCTGGGCTTATGCACTTCACAAACTTTAACGTATTTATCCTCACAACAGCAGCACTGTTATCCCTACTTTACAGATGAGGAACCTGAGGCCTTGAGAGACTAAGGCCCCGATGTTTAACAGAATTCGGGCATTGCTGCGCTGAGCATTAAAATACTTAATTGATTTAGGAGCCTCTCTTTTTCAAAAGGGATTTAGGCACTTAGGAGCCTACATAATTGGCATATTGGCTCCTAATCCCTTTTGAAAGTGAGACAAGGGCTCCTAAATCAGTTTGGGGTTGCAATGCTGAGTGCAGTGACATTAAAACAACAAGGAGTCCGGTATCATTACAAATCTGGGCCTAATTGAGTGCCCAGGGTCACACAGGAGGTCTGTGGCAGACCAGGGAACTGAACTCCGCTCTCCCCAGCCCTACACTAGTGGTCTAACATCCTCTCACACAGAATAAATTTGCGGTCCATCACCGTAGCCACTTGCCCACATCGTCTTATTATTTACATTACACGATCTTACTATTCATGTCAATGACTACACAAGTGGAGAATCAGACTTGATATTGTCGGTTACATTGTGCGCCATTTGACATGCCATTAACCCTCCCTTCCACCAAATTACTCTGAGATGAGTGACACTTTCCTCTAGTTCTAGGTAAGGCTTCAGAGTGCCAATGAAACCACTTCAAGAAAACCCCACCGCTGTTTGCATTGAGAGGTTAATACCGATGATCTGTGGTAAGGAGTAGCCATCTAAGTCTAGGAGCACCGTCCCTGTCTGTAGACACGTGCGTAGTTCAAACAGGCTGTGCAAAGATAACGTTGACACATGAGGTTTGCTCCATCTCTCCCCTCCTTCTTCCACCTTTTCTTCAAACTTTATCCACCTGAAATAAAAGCCACAGTTGTGATCAGTACAGGGTACAAACGCATGTCTGGTAAATTGCACATCTGTCCAAACAGTGCACCAATCAGGTGATCAAGGACCAAGGTGATGGGCACAGTGTAAGAACTTGAACAGAATAGATCTATCACAGGGCAGCTGCTGTACAGCCTGTGTGCATTTTACAGTTAGATATATTTATCAGCAATAAACTGGATTAGCAGCCATTGTTTCAGTAAGAGCCGAGGTGCTTGGAGGAGCCCAGGACTGGAACAGCTGAGGACTGAGAGGCATTGGCAGAGCATGATTCAGGGCTGGGATATCTAGAAGAGTCCTAGGTCAGGGTGATGGTGCATTGGCAAAGCTGCATAGCTAGAGGAATCTTACAAGAGTTTACCAGCAGTATTAGCACTATGTTATATGAAGCACTCCTTTCATGAGTCCAATTCATATATGGTTTTAAATTATCTTTTTTATTAAAGGGAGGTAATGCTTCACATGTACATAGATAGCACTTTCCACCTGTCAAGTGCTTTATGAGCATTAACTAATTCATCCTCAGACCATCCCTGCAATGTATGTTTGCATATTACAGATGAGGAAGTGGAGGCAGAAAGGTTAAGTTATTTGCCTAAAGTTACATCATCTGAAAGAGGAACAGAACCTGCCGGGTTGGTAAATCTCACTGCTGGGATCAGGTCCTCCCCCTCCTCTTTCTCTCTCAATATAATACTTATGCTGCTATGAAAAAAAATAGATTGAAAAGTCTTCAAGGCAGGGAAACCATTTTATCAGTGAAGTGCCATGTGCATCTATGGAATAATAATGTGCTTATGCATACAACTAACAAATACTAAAAGGACAGGTGTCACAGCGTGCCTGGAGCAAGGTGTCTGGTGCAGTGAGCTCTTTGCTCATCCTTTAACAATTAAAGTTCAACCCCCAAAATTGGTCACCTGAGCCCTTAAACTTCAAGACAAAACAGCCAGTTTATTGTACCCCTTCAGCTGAAGGTGCAGTTAGATGGTTAGGTTCTGAGGGCCTGGGGTTCCAGGCCTGGGGTTCTGGGGTAGGGCCAGGGGAGCTCCCCTCTTCTCCCAGCTTCATCCAGCACTGCCCCTACAAAGAAGCAAGCAAGCCTTCTTATATCGCCTGGTGGGTCCTGATTGGTTAATACCTCCTCCCACTCCCCTTCTAGCCCCTGGAGGACCAAGTCTTGTTGGTTCTGCAGGTACCAGAACCTGAGTGGCAGTGTTCTGAGGTCTAACTCATTGCCCCTCTTTCCCAGCCAATGCTTTTCCTTTGGGTGAAGTGCGTCAGGGCAGTGATGGGGCAAAAAAGGCCTGGTACACCTGTTGTGGTAGGACACTGGAAAACTCATTTAATCAGCTTGATAGTGATCAGAGTTCCCAAAACCTTAACCTGCTCTATTCATTTCAGTGATGGGTTAATTACATTTTGGCTACATTATTTCTGTGAAGGATTTCAGCATCAGGAAAATGTGAAATGGCAAATGAGAGGATGCAGCATTCTGAATAAGCAAAGTTTCATCCCCAGTGATGTAACATTTATAACATTTAGTCTGGATCTGTAAAAGCAGCAAAGAGTCCTGTGGCACCTTATAGACTAACAGACGTATTGGAGCATGAGCTTTCGTGGATGAATACATGCATCTGATGAAGTGGGTATTCACCCACGAAAGCTCATGCTCCAATACGTCTGTTAGTCTATAAAGTGCCACAGGACTCAAGGAGATTAAAGCGCTATAGAGACATTTGTTAATTAACTCTATTGGCACTATTATACCATTTTGCAATGACTAAACTGGGATGCTGAGCTAACTTGATGTCACTCTGAGTGGTGGCAGAAAAGAATTTAGGATCTCTCACTCCCAGTCCTCTGCTCCAACCTCTAGACCCACAATCCCTTCCGAGATCTGGGAACAGACCACAGGAGTCTTGACTTCCAGTCCCTTCTCCAAATATTAGACCATGCTCTTCTACCAGACCTGAGAAAAGAACCCTAGAGTCCTGACTTCCTGCTCCAATCACTAGACAACGCTCCCTCCCTTAAAAAAACCCAAACTGTTCTGCTTTTAATGTTCTGCATCAGCTTCTTAACATTCATCATGAAGAGTAACACAAATAAATGAATGAGAGCAGATTTCTGCAGGCTCCCTGGGAATATGACTTGTGCTCCAATTAAGCACAAGTAATTCTCGGCAACGCGCCTGTATTTATTTTGGAAATAAAGCTGCTGTTCCTTTAAATCAGGTTTGCAGAGGCCCAGCTCCATGAATTCTCATGGATTAGTCAGTCTAGGGCTTAACCTGGCAGCTTTTAACTGGTACAACTTGGATTTTGGCTCATGTCACTGCAGTGGGGACAGAAGGAAAGAACAGAGGACAACAGGGGCTTTAAAAAAAAAGAAAAAAAAGAGTAGCAACAGAGTATATGCTAATTCTGCCTGCAAATACTGGAAACAGCTCTGGATTATCCAGGCTATGGTCAGGGACATACCTGGTGGTTCCTTCTCCCTAGTAGCTCCTTTAGGTTGGCATTTACCAAACTACAAAGGGGAGGTAGATTGACACACTTCAATGTTTTTTTCCCAGTGGGAGAACTAATTTAGATAATCTTTCCCGTTGCAGCTCTGCTGCTCATTTAGGATTCTGGGATTCATTGCTCTTGAACCAAGGGGGGTGGGATGTGGAACCCAGGATTCCTCCTAGTTAACAGAGTAGAGCAGCATTCGTCCATTTAGCAGCGAAGAAAGGAAATAGATTCTGGGTGCTGTAAGTCTGATTCAGGGCAAGGCAACAGGCTACTGTTACCTCACCCAGGTTTTGCAGGAAGTGATTGAAAAGGTACGGTGGCTATTGTTCTGTACTACTATTGCCGTATGATGGATTGTGAAGGCGGATTGACAAACAAAAGGCTATTAATGCAGCAGGAGAAGGAGACAGTGTAATGTAGTGGTTCGAGCACATGCGGTTTCTAGTCCTAGCTCTAACATGGATTTAATGTGTGATCTGGGCAAGCCACGAATGGCCTCTGGATGCCTCAGTTTTCTGTGCCAAACCTGACACACAACACAGCCTGCATTAGGACGTGCAGCGCACCCAAGACAGTGAGAGGTGCAAGAATGTAACGCTTCTGATAATCAGGCTCAAGTTTGGCTGAGCAATCGGAAGCAACCCTTAAAAAAAAAAATTAGCTCAAACTCTCTGGTGCCTAGGGTGACCAGATGTCCCGCTTTTATAGGGACAGTCCCGATATTTGGGGCTTTGTCTTATATAGGTGCCAATTACTCCCCACCCCCGTCCCGATTTTTCACCCTTGCTATCTGGTCACCCTACTGGTCCCTCAGTTTCCCCTCTTGTCAGAGGGCAACCATAATAGCTACTCACCCTTTGGAAGGCACTTGGAGATCTTTGAATGAAAAATGTTACATGAACACAAAATGGTGTTTGTTACAACTAGAGAAAGGCAATCAGTGAATAGTATTTTAAATAAATACATAAAACTGAGAGGGCGCTATACTGGAACCACGTCAGGAGATACTGCAGAGTTTTAGTTAGGAGAAATTCAAGGAATATTTTAAAGAGCATCAACGTGAGATTCGTTATTCAGAAAGGGAAAAGTCCTGGTTTATTGCATTTTTCTTCCTACTACAATGTAGCTCCTTTCACCCACTGATCTCAAATTCTTTACACATATTCGTTAATAAACCCTCACCACAGGTCAGCTTTAGCTCTCCTGTAATGTTCACAATGTATCACTGGCCTGTGTCTTTCACACTATAGCACCCTGATGCTATGACACAAACATCACTGCCTCACAATACAACCAAGCGATGACTCTCTTGCACTAACCCCTAGATCACATACCCATCCCAAAGCTGGGAATACGACCCAGGAGTAACCCCTCCCTGCTCTAATTGCTAGGATACACTTCCCCACACCAGGATTAGAACCCAGGAGTCCCAACACCTAATCTCCTACTCTAAATACTAGACCACTCTGTATCCTTTTAAGCAGAGCTACAAAAGCGGTTGCTAAATTAACGTGCATCTCAGTCACATTATTTACATCAGTGCTGGCCAAGAGATTTATGGTCACTGGGTAAGATGCCTGCGATACTGAGGCTGGCCAAGAGCCCACTGATGGCAAGATATGAAGCCACCTGGAGATTTGCATTCTCTTAGTTTCCATTTTCAGTCCCAGTATCATGCAGTCCCCCACGCACTGCGGTGGCTACTCACATTAGTCATCCCCCAGTGCTTAGTTGATGCCTGGGTCCGGTGGTTCCTCCCCTGAGACTGAGGGGAGGGACCTTTAGACGTGGGTGGGCCCACACTCACCCATCTGCAATGCTTCAGGAGGTTTCTCACAGCGTGCTCTGCCATTCGGGCTTTAGGAACGACCACAACGTTAAGCACTGACCATGCTAGCAGAAAGCAGACAGGGGTATTGCAAGTGGTTTCGCTAACACTGCTCATGATCAAACTCTAACGAAGCTGGGTTAGCACATACACGGTCCAGATCTGGAAACCACGTCAGGGCTAAGGAACTGTGTCAGATGAGGGACATTCGCTATCTATTCCGGGCAACCTCAATGGATTTGCTAAGTGCACTGCTACAGACCTCGACCAATGCACCTCAGTCCCGTACTGGGACCCTCAGTTCTGCACTGAACTGCACCACCCTAGTATGGTCTAGTCATGAGATCTCATGCAGCAATGCTGATATTCCCGAGTCCCAAACTGGCCCTTCCCCATCCAGCACTGCCAACGCTTCTTAACGCTGACCTGCACCATGCTGCTGCTATTTCTGTCCTGCTCCCTCAGGACAGCTCTGACGACACCCATAATTCTGGTCTGCAGCACCCCCTGCTGCTTTAGTCCTGGACTCCCTAACACAAGTATCTCTATAGTCCTCATCCACAACCCCCTGGCTATTCTGCCTCTGACCATGTGGCAATTTTATGACATGCCCAACTGCAA